GAACATGAAACACATCTGTACCGAATGATGTGTTAGGCGATGATGAACATGAAACACATCTGTACCGAATGATGTGTTAGGCGATGATGAACATGGATTGTTCAGGATCTGAACCACGGAAAACGATGTACCGCAAGCATGTGGCTTGCCATCAATCGGATCGAGCATATACCAATAATTACATATGTGCACTTTAGTTATGCGTCCTAACTTCTCCCAAAAAGATATCATTCAGTACAAGTACACATGGACATCAGACAATTCAGGGACCGCTGACAGACCATCCAACTAGTCCAGAACAGCTTCCAGAATTTCTAAACGATTTTCATGTCACTGCTACACCCACATCTTCAATAAAGTCCGGGTAGAGATCAGTACATCGGGGGTGTGGTTCTCTTTACTCCGTAGTTTGCGAGTATGTGTCAAAAGTGCAGTTCGCTTTTCTCACAGTGCTTTCCCCTTCGCTTGCAAGTCTCTCCTCAATGTCCCCACGCTTCCCACTTCACCCAATACTTACCATTGTCGCGCTAACCTGAGGGATTAGATACTCAGTAGTAGACAACTGCACTTTCTCTTTAAGCTCAGCAAACCCGTTTCTTTAGTTAGAAACCATGAAACTTCATCTTACCTACACAATGTTGGCGCAAAAACCGTTGGATGTGGTCACATTCGTTTCTTATCTAGAAAGCATGGACCTTCATCTTCGCACGAACATAGCGTCAGTTTGCGTGTCAATGCCTGACTCGGGGACTCAACTGATAATTACACTTTCTCACCAAGTTCGGCAACCCGTTTCTTAGGGCAGCTACAGCCCCGTTTCTTATTTGTTCTTTTTTTATAAAAGCTAAGTTCTTCAGCCCCGTTTCTTAAGGTAGCTACAACCCCGTTTCTTAAGGTATAGCTCCAACCCCGCTTCTTCAGGTAGCTTCAACCCCTTTTCTAGAGAGAACTCGTACACTCGGTTCACAATTGCAATTTCTCATGAACGGGGTTTTAGATACGATAGGAAACAGCCCAGGCTCGCTACCGTAAGAAAAAGCCGAAGCTCATGGTTCGCATCACAAAATTTTCTTTCTACTATACCTCGAGGACATCAATCGCGCAGGTTTAACAGTCTGAGATACGTCATTGAAAACGTCCGGCGATCAAGTCCCCCTCACCACCGATGCTGCTTACAACGCAAATGCTACTCGCAAATAGCAGACGGATATCATCTTCACCACCGATGCTGCTTACAACGCAAATACTACTCGCAAATAGCAGACGGATATCATCTATATCACACGGCCCCTTCTATCCGATCCTGTTGAACACGCTATTGTGAGTCTACCTGCTTCAAAAATATGGGGAAGGGGCTAACCAAATAATCAGCCAAGTGTTCAGCACAAGGGCGAAGGGAAACAATACCCACGAGGAAAATAAAGATATCAAAATGTAGTATGGTGTGATGGGAGGGGAAGTGGGGGGGTGGGGAAGGCATTGCGAGCCTGTCCGTCAGCCATGTGAATGGAGCCATCTGACGATCCTATTTTCTTTTTTTAGTTAAGAATTGGTCCATTGAACGCAATCATCTTTCCAGTTCTCCTCCTAACGATTATGAAAACTCAAACGAGAAAATAAATAAATTACAATCAGAAAGACCTAGACCTTGTACCAACCACGAGCATCTGCTTACCAACGTTTCAGCAAGAAAGGAAGGGAACAATACACCTAGGTGCAAAATCGACAAAATCTATTCACCTCTACAACACTACACACTACGTACGTAGTATTCCAAAACTAGTCAGCGATGACGAGATAGACATACTTCACGCCACCATAGCACAGAAAGAATGTGCGGCACGACAGTTCACCAAACCTAACAAACCACTAGAAAAAAACAGAAAGATTGTCGCTATAAAAGTTGTCGGAACCTAGCGAACAACCCCTCGCGGGAAGACGTCCATCTGGAAAGAGAAAGATGTCCATCTGAAAAGAGAAAATGCCAGACGCATAAACCTGGCGATCCAGGTACACCGCGGAACGTGGCGATCTTGGCGCCCAGTCTGCAAGACATCCGTCCTAACGTTCTCGACCGTCTCAAGTTCTAAGAGCCAACATTTTCAATCGTTTAGTTGGGCGATTCATTTATGACAAAAATGCACCTGAAGGCTAAAACATGAGGCGGTGAACACTTACCCCGTTTTCTCGTAGAAGCGACCAAAAAAGTTAGTACGGAGTGAAAAAACATCAAGCACGCAAAGAAAGCTGCTGTGATTGGGGAATATTCAGAGTGGAAAACATCAACAAGTTCCCTCTCCCAACAAAGAATAACCATATCATTCCTAACAAGACAAGTTTGCAGTCCCAACATGACGAGAATCATGTCATTCATTGCTGAAGTTAGGTTGAGGACTCTTTCAACTCAAAGATAATGAAAAGAAAGCCAAATAACTTTTCGCTGAGGATAGAAAAGATCGACCGTTCATCTCACACAGCAAAATACTTCGATAATTCCGACAACCAGAGGAAACTTGTACTTTGCACCATAACCTCGGCCATGACCTTGCTCACCGACGTCATCGGTTAGCAAGATCTTGGCCGAGGTTATGGTGCTAATTACATGTCTCCTCTGGTAACGACAACAAGAAAAACACATTCGACAAATCTCCGAATCCGGTTTCACGATAACTAGTTCAAGGCATCTGGTGAAAAGGATTCAAATGCGCGATACTTCAGCCATGACGTAAACATAAGTTCCCGTGCCGTCAAGGAAAGAGGACACGTCAACTTCCCCACAAGCTCCCCAATTCAAGTTTTATGCATCTACCACTCCTCGAGCAAGTCTCGCCTCTGGATCCCGACAGCGTCATGGCTCGCTGCCAGCTTTCATTTTTCCTCGTCATGATGATTACCAAAAATTCCAAGTCTGGAGTTAAGCCGCCTTCATCCTCTCCCTGCCTCTCCTCTCTCTATCTATATACCTATCTTCACTGACCAAGTTCCGCCTTCTTCTTCATCCACAACTGATCGAGTGCACTGTCAGCACTGCCCTGCGCACGGACATAGCCGCACAGCGCGAACGTGGTGAAGTTGCCTCTGTAGATGCCATTCTCATCAAGATGCCCAACATTGATCTGGACGGAAGCATGGTCTTTCGACGTAATCAACCGATTCGTCGAGGAGCACTTGCGGGGGATGTAGAGATCGACATTCTCTCCCTCCTCGTTCTGCATCTTGACGACTGCGGAGAGCTACGACCAAGGCAAGAGCGATCAGAAAAGCGGCTGTCGACTGACAAATGCTTCGACCTAGGATCACAATGCACAAATCATCACATGAAAGAACGCATTAAAAAAGACGAACCCCCCCCCAAAAAAAAAAAAGAAGCGAAGCTTTACGAACCACAATCGACGACATGTGCGACAAAACAGCCTTAAAGGAGTACAAGAACATATGTCGAATAGAAGTCAAGAATCAAAAGTAACAACAGTGAACATCGGGTTTATTACTAAATCCGAAGAAATCGCAAGATAATCCTCATTCTCAATTTATTACACCCTACCAAACGGCATGTAGGTCATTGATATTCATTCCTATTTTGTTATCCCTCAGTGAACTCGAAGACTAGGAGACTATTGCAAGCGAACACCATTGTCGGGCAGTCATAGCCATCTAGAGTTAATGGAGTCCTGATGAGAACAAGACACTTCATCTTAGCCTCAGATACTGATATCGTTTTCCTCCGTGTTACACAGCAAACGAACTCCAAAATAAACGAAACCGAAAGGGTTCTACATTCCACTAACGACTCGTAGAAAGGAAACAACGGTATTAACAGATGCACATAATAGAGGATAAAGGGCTAAAAACGACTTGACTGTTGCGGCTTCGCGAACACAAACCAGAGCTGCAGGGGGAAGAAAAACACAGGACAAGGAATTTGAGAGCCCATCCGTTCTCTCTCTCTCTCTCTCTCTCTCTCTCTCTCTCTCTCTCTCTCTCTCTCTCTCTCTCTCTCTTTTCAAAGAGAATAATCCCACTCTATTTGCCCCTCTACCCCGACTTTTCCCCCTCCATGTAACCCTACTCGCCATTCACGAACACTCCCACAGACCACTGGCTGTCAACAGCTCTCTCTCTGTCTCTCTCTCTCTCTCTCTCTCTCTCTCTCTCTCTCTCTCTCTCTCTCTCTCTCTCTCTCTCTCTCTCTCTCTCTCTCTCTC